CAAGTTGTTTCTGTGCGTTTTAGAGAATATATGATTTGTTGTTTCGCTTGGAGTTTTTATTTATTTATTTTGATTGTTTAGGTGCTTGCTGCTCCGGGAAAGCTGTTTCTGAGAGATGCGGATGAAGAGCATGGAGGTGTTGATGATATGACAAAGTTGACCTATTTGAATGAGCCAGGCGTGCTTTATAATCTGGAGAGGAGATACGCTCTTAATGATATTTATGTAAGTGAATTTCTGGTTGTATATGTTGATAATTGCTCAAATAATGGGGATTTGTTAATTTAAATACCTGAGTTATGGTAATTCGGGATTGATTATGTTATACTGTTCGAAGTTTATCTGTACTATCTATTTTATTAAATGATAATGCTAGGAACTTAATTTATCTCTACTCTGTTGGCTTATGATGTCCAAAAAAAGAAAAGTGCTGTAGTTTGATACAGGGGAATGAAAGCCTGCAAAAATTAAATAGTTATCCAATTGAGGATATCATCTAATGCTGGCATCTAGAATTCCAAATTGCAATATATAGGTATTCATATTATGGGTTCAGTAGTGATTAAATGCTCACTTGTCACTTTTAGGATAAATATTAATGATAATTTGCTTCTTAGAGATGTCAGCTGTTTCAGTGCAGCAGATTAATTGAATTTTTTTAACCGTTGGGGATGGGGGTGGGGCCTATGCTTGTGCATTTCTGCCACGTGCGGAGTTTGATTTTCAAATTTGTTATGATGCTTATATGAAATTTTTTAGTTCTTGAAATTAACCATATATAGATTTTCTTTTGGACCCTTTGGTAGACATATACAGGAAGCATCTTGATAGCTGTTAATCCATTCACAAAGCTTCCTCATCTTTACGATGTGCATATGATGGAGATGTACAAGGGTGCACCTTTTGGGGAGTTGAGCCCCCATGTTTTTGCTGTGGCTGATGCATCATACAGGTTTGTGATCTTTGTGCAACTTAATACATATTGCTATCAGTCATGGGATTTAGTTAGCTCTTTTTGTGTTTTATGACTCAGAGCAATGATGAATGAGGGTCAAAGCCAGTCTATACTGGTCAGTGGAGAAAGTGGGGCTGGGAAAACTGAGACAACAAAATTGATTATGCAGTATCTTACTTTTGTTGGTGGCCGGGCTGCTGTTGATGATAGAAATGTAGAGCAGCAAGTTCTTGAAGTAAGATTGTGCCTAAGTCATTTAACCTATTGTTGTTGTTTTGTATCTTTATATTTCCATTTTGGTTGCATTTATGTAGGGCAACCAATTTTTTTTAATTTGGAAGTAAGAAGGCATGCTTTATCCTTTGCAGATTTTCTTTCTTTTTTAATTTATTTGTAAGGATGAAGACTCTTTTTATTTATTTATTTTTGTTTCAATTTTAGTTGACGCTTGATACATTATTGGTCTGTTTTATGCTTTTGAATTTGCTTTCTGTATGATTCAGTCAAATCCACTATTGGAGGCATTTGGCAATGCAAAAACAGTTAGAAATGACAATTCAAGGTGGGTTCTACCTTTTTTTTTTTTCTTTTCTTTTCTTTTCTTTTCTTTTTAAAATCAAACTGTATTTGATCAGCAGTCAGCTCTAAATTTTCTAAACTTTAGGTGGTGGTTGTATATTTTCTAAACTTTTTGTGGTAGTTGTATTCTTTGTTATTTTGATGCATCTCTAATAAAGAACTGACTCCTTGATGACCAATCCATTGAAAAGGGGCTTTAATTTACAAATTTTCAATAGATAGATAAAGGATGTTATGAAGATCCTCCATGTGACTGTTCAAGGGTCCTTAGGATTGAACTTGATTAAAAAAACGTATAAACATCCAATGTAGACTTAATATTACTGTGTATTGAATCTCTCTGGAAAATAGAGGAGACCTTATGCGATAAGCATATTCTATGCTCTTCACTAAACATATTCTGCAGGTTGCATATGTGCATTCTATGTAACAAGCCTTAATAAAAAAAGGGAAAATTACCATCTTCATAATCTTCAGTAATTGTTAATCTTTTTGTATGCATGAGATAATTCCTTTTGGAGAAACATTATTTCACACAAGCATGGTATGTAATGAGTTCTAGGTTTATAGAGCATGGCTGTTGTTTGCTTGCAAATTGAAAAGAAATTATAGGAATATTCTTAAATAAACCTTTCCCTGGGCTTATTCCTTTTTTCTTTGTTTTTATGGCAGCCGTTTTGGCAAGTTTGTTGAGATCCAGTTTGATGCAGATGGGAGAATTTCTGGTGCTGCAATCAGAACTTACCTTCTTGAAAGGTCTCGTGTAGTTCAGATAACTCATCCTGAGAGGAATTATCACTGCTTTTATCAGTTGTGTGCATCAGGAAAGGTGATCTCTTCAATTGTATCCTTTTGCTTTGTGTGCAGCCCTCTTTCTCTATGTTTTGTGCCTTGTGTCAAGCATTTAATTTTAATATGTACCTAGGAATTTTGTTCAGGCTATGGAGAGATGTGCCTTTTTTAACTGTCGGATAAGGGTTTGTGTGTGTGTCTGTGCTAACACCTCACCTTATATCAACTGTGGGGCATCTTTGTTATGAACATTTTTTTTTGGTGCTTCTGTACAGGATGCAGAAAGGTACAAATTAGGCCACCCAAGTCAGTTTCACTACTTAAATCAAAGCAAGACATATGAACTGGATGGAGTTAGTAGTGCAGAGGAGTATATGAAAACAAGAAGGGCAATGGATATTGTTGGCATAAGTAATGAGGATCAGGTTTTAATATCTTATTAAGTAGACCAGTGTTTAAAAATTATACGTGGCTTATCACCTTAATTATATTTTATTTGAATGTTCTCATAGTTTTTTTTTTTTTTTGTTATCAGGAAGCTATATTCCGCACCTTGGCTGCAATCCTGCATCTTGGAAACATTGAATTTTCTCCTGGAAAAGAGCATGATTCTTCAGTTGTAAAGGATCAGAAATCTAGCTTTCATATGCAGATGGCTGCTGATCTTTTCATGTAGGTGATTCTCTAAGTGAGCTTGGAACTTTTTCTATAATTCATTCTTGATTAGACTTAAAAATCAACTTTAGTTGGCTGTAGAAACTAAAATTGTTAAATACTTGTTAAAAGGTTTCTTTTCCTTTTATATTTTCATTTTTTCATGGAAAGAGGTTAGAATAATATAAGGACTTACGATTTGGGAATTGTGGAATTGCTATTAATAGGATTCAGGATGACAAGTACTAAATCTGAGTTGGTTACCAGGTCCATTTATGTCTAACAGATCTACTCAGTTTCTGTTTCGCTAGATCCTTGTTCTTTTGATGCTTTAGATAATTGAATAGCTCTTAAATCAGGTGTGATGTTAATCTCTTGCTGTCAACATTATGTACCCGTACCATTCAAACTCGAGAAGGGAATATTGTCAAAGCTCTCGACTCCAATGCTGCTGTTGCAAGTAGAGATGCATTGGCAAAGACTGTTTATGCTCGCTTGTTTGATTGGTATGCTTATTTTCAAGTCACAAGTCATGATTGAAAACATTTCCTTTTTAAACTAACATAGAATATCTGCCTGAACCAAAATCTGTTTTGTTCTAATTTATTTATTTTTTTCTTTATATTTTTTAAGGCTTGTTGATAAGATTAATAAGTCTGTGGGGCAAGATCCAAGTTCTCGTGTACAAATTGGAGTTTTGGACATTTATGGATTTGAATGTTTTAAGCATAACAGGTAAACATATTTAATGCTTTTTTACCTTTTTACCAAAATGTTTATCATTTCTTATTTGATTTAAAATTTTATTCTACATGTTGCCCTCATCTTGTGTTAAGGATAAGGTCCTTTGACTTCGCTTTGATGTACGGCTCTTTTTGTGAACATATAGACATGCTATTTCTATCTCTTTGTAAATCTTTGTCTGCATTATGCATAAGTTGTCCTATCACATTTTCTGGCTGTATATTTGGTATCCTGACTCATTGAATTAGATCAAAATGTTTCCAATTTAAAATAAATATTTTGGACCTGTGAACACAGAAATATAGAAGAAAGGACAGTGCTAGAATTTTATATCAAAAGAGTGGATGGCAATGACCCCTTAAAATTGAAAGGGATTTCTGTGCACTGAAGCTGGTGCCTGTATTCTATTGGGATTTTTTAGGAACTCTGGTTGGATGTTCTTTTTATAAGCTCTGGCAGGATTCCAGTCAATCATCAATATGTCACATCACTTAGTTTAGAACCATGATGAAGAATCACCCAAAAAAACTTTTGGATGATGTAACAGTTTTATTTTTATTATGATTTGGGATTCTTTAAAATCTTTGCACTTGCAGTCCCAAGATAGCTTTGTGGAAAGGTCTTTTTTTGTTTTGTTTGTTTTTTTTCCCTAATAGGTAGGTTCCTTTTTTTGCATGGCTATTAAAGAGGTTTGAACCTTAACATTGACCCCAGAATCAAGGTTTTGAGGTCAATGGGTACCAACTTGGTTAAGCCCTTGTTGGAAGTTTTGTAGAAAGTTTGCATGCTACTCTTTGGACATGTAATATATGCCTCTGGGATTCTGACCTCCAGGCCTTTCTTGATATGTTACCCAGCCAGTATGAAACAATAGCCATACATCTAGTTATTTGTAGAATTTTCATTTTTATTTTTTAATTCAATGGTTTACTCTCTACAGATTTGTGGCTTGCAGTGAAAGAATAACTAACAATATGTAAACGATCATTAACTGGTAAATAAGTGTCAGAAGGATTGGATTGTTGTTATTCACGTGAGATCTTTTGTTTGACAGTTTCGAGCAGTTCTGCATTAATTTTGCCAATGAAAAGCTTCAGCAGCATTTCAATGAGGTCCTAATTAATCATTTCTGGCTATTAAATTTTTCTGTTTATTGCAATTTTGTGACATTGTCTTGTATATTTATTAACTTGATCACTTCTTTTCTTTCAGCATGTATTCAAAATGGAGCAAGATGAGTACAGGAAAGAAGAAATTAACTGGAGCTACATTGAATTTATAGACAACCAAGATGTTTTGGATTTAATTGAGAAGGTTATTTACAAAAAATCTTTTTTTTTTTTTTTTTTTTTTTTTGGTTTTCATTTTGATGGAAAGTTATTTTTGCAGTGCTGTCTAATGTTGTTAATTGTTGGTATAGATAATTATTAATTAGCAATTACCATAAGGTGCCTTGGTGCAGTTTGCCGTTCTATTCTATAGACAAAAATGCATTAGCCAATTCTAAATATGGTCATTTTTATCAGTTTATCTAAGGATGGTACATCAATTCTATATGCCTTCTTCCTATAATTTTCTCTCTTCTCCGTTTCCTCAGATTCTTTTAAATTCTGTTAGCATGTGATCATATTGTCTCATAATTTTATTTGCAGAAACCTATTGGAGTAGTTGCTCTCTTAGATGAAGCTTGGTACAATTTGAGTTCTTCAGTATAAATTGGTGCGTGTTGCTCTATACATTTAAATTTGTGCAGTTAATCCTCATCCTGATTTTGTTATTCATGCAGCATGTTCCCCAAATCTACTCATGAAACATTCTCAACCAAGTTGTTTCAGAATTTCCGTGGTCATCCAAGGTTGGAGAAGGCAAAGTTTTCTGAAACGGATTTTACCATGTCACATTATGCTGGCAAGGCATGTCATGGTTCATTGAATCTTAGCATAAAGAGTCATGTTCTGAAACATGGAAATTGTTTTGATGCAGTACTCCCTTGTTTTTATAGGTCACTTATCAAACAGATACCTTTCTTGACAAAAATCGTGATTATGTAGTGGTAGAACATATCAATCTATTGGCTTCTTCCAGATGCCCTTTTGTTGCTGGTCTTTTCCCTTCACCACCGGAGGAATCTTCACGGTCATCATACAAATTTTCTTCTGTGTCCTCAAGATTTAAGGTTGGTATTTGAATGGCTACTGTTCAATGTTTTCCATATGTGTTGGCTTATTGTTAACGTGTTTTGCTGAAGGCTTTCTGTTTTCTATACATGCATTAGATTTACTGTGTCCCATTCTCTAAAGCTTGTGTTATTTTCTTTTCCTCTTTATAGCAACAACTCCAAGCACTCATGGAAACCCTTAATCAAACAGAACCTCATTACATACGCTGTGTGAAGCCAAACTCTCTGAACCGACCTCAGAAATTTGAGAACCAGAGTATCTTACATCAGCTACGCTGTGGGGTCAGTACCTACCTTTCTATGTTCAGTTCCTTAATTAAATTCAGTTGTACTAGTATTATATGTTTTTGGTTCTTGCTTAGTTTTGTTGATGTCATGTTGATTAAGGGACTTTTGTTTTATTTGGAACAGGGTGTTCTGGAGGCTGTTCGAATTAGTCTGGCAGGTTATCCAACACGAAAGACTTATTCAGAATTTGTGGATCGCTTTGGATTGTTAGCACTTGACTTAATGGATGGAAGGTTGTACAGAAAATACTTTGGTTGGAACAGTTACATTTGGATAAATATGGTACATGGTTTTCAATGATGCACTATACATATAGGGCATATCTGGAATGCTTATGTTTCAGTAAAATCAGCATATAAGTACATTTCACTCTTTGATGTTTTTGGCAACCAAGAGAATGTGCTTCTATGAGGGGGAGAAAGAGTACTTTCCCCCTTATGTTTGTGAAACGTGAAGAGATGAGAAAAACACAAACACATTTCACTTTCTTGATAATATATATATATATATTCTTTTATGTATCTTCACATATTTATCTTCAGGGACCCTCTTTTTTTTCCTCTATTTCCCTTTTCCTGCCTGTTTCTTTGTTTAATATGAAGTTTACATATTTTCAGTTGTGATGAGAAGGGATTGACTGAAAAAATTCTTTGGAAGTTAAGCCTAGAAAATTTTCAGGTATGACTCATAAAAATTTTTTGATTGAAATTTTGATTGTCTTGTTTACTTGCTAAAATATTTCCAAAAATGCAGTTGGGAAGGACAAAAGTGTTTCTTAGGGCTGGTCAGATTGGTGTTTTAGACTCTCGGCGAGTTGAGGTTTTAGATACTGCTGCCAAATGCGTTCAACGTCGATTCCGGACATTTGTTGCTCACAGAAATTTCATTTCAGCTCGTATTGCTGCAACAGCAATCCAAGCATTCTCTAGAGGTTCTTCTTGCATTACATGGACAGCCTTCTTTTTAATTCTGAAGATATAATATTTTTTACTATTAACTCAATGCTTGGAAGTTCATTTATTATCCATGTTTGAACAGTTGGAAGATTATGATCATAGATTTTCTCTCTGTGTTTGGTCCTAAAAAGATCAATGTTGAATTTAGGCAAAGAGTCTTTATGGGCCTCCCAAACCTTGTGTTAGGTTTGCAGTCTCCAATGTGATAAGAAGCTGTTTATGTGACATTCACCAATGCCATTGTCATCATTTTTCCTTTGAGATTTTCATTCAATTAGTTTGACCATAATCATCCCACTTCTTTTTAATTGTCTAGTTAGTTTGAGATTGTGTTCATGAGAAGTGCCTATCATTTCAATCAACTAGAGTCTAGAGGTTGCAATTGCATGCCATGCCTGTTTGGCTAGTCATCTAGTCATCCATAGTCCTTGAAACCATGTTCCTCTTTTTTAAATCCAGCGTTGTCTCATCATCATCAGTGAAATTGAGCATCACTTTTCAAGAATATCATTTTGCCTACCAATTTTAATTTTTTGGCAAAAATTTTACCTTGCACATCATTTGTTGGTAAGCTGTAATCACGTCTTGGTTCATTAGAGGTTGGTTAAATGAGCATTCCTTTGTTCATATTGTTATTCTGGTTCTAGCTGCTTGGCACTTTAATGTTCCCGAACTTTTCCAGGATGCCTTGCTCGGAAGATTTTTGCTGCAAAAAGAGAGGCAGCAGCTGCTATTTATATACAGAAATTTGTTCGTAGGTGGCAATTAAGGCATGGTTATGTGAAGCTAATTTCAGCTGCTATTATTATACAGTCTGGTATCCGATGCTTCTCTCTCCGTAAGAAGTTTTTGTTAGGAAAGGAGAATAGAGCTGCAACTCTGATTCAGGTACCCCAATTTAAACATATGCACATATTCTGTTGTTATTCATTGTTTTCATGTTGTAGGTGAGCTATACTCATCTGCAATTTGTTTATTTATTTTTTCTTGTATAAGGATGAATACTGTTCCCAGTAGAGCACAATAGTGAATCACATTTATCCTATCAATTGTATCTAGCATGCTCAAATTCTATGGCTAACATCATTAATATCTCCTTCCATTTCTTTGGTTGAATGCAGATTTACCGTCCATTTCTTTTTCAGTATTTTCCTTGCTTTGAAATATCTTAAAGGTTTCTGTGAGCATTAATTATTTTGATGAAAAGTTGGTATTAAGTTTGGAGTTGCCTTTCCCCTTTTTTTTTTTTACCCTTATTCTCCATGATGTTTAAAATATTCCATGAAGGATGCAATTTGACTTTGTTCCTATTTGGCATTAGGGTTGGTGGAGGATGTGCAAGTTCCGTGCAGCTCACCGAAGCCATCAACGTTCAATCATAGCCATACAGTGTCGCTGGAGGCAAAAGCTAGCAAAACGAGCACTCCGGAGACTTAAACAAGTAGAGAATTTGCTTTTGTTTGCCAATTCATTTCACTTATAACTTTATATGATTTTTATTCCATTAGCTCTTATGCATATACCTTTCGCAGGAGGCTAATGAAGCTGGGGCCTTACGATTAGCAAAGAACAAGCTTGAGAAACAGTTAGAAGAACTTACATGGCGGTTGCATTTGGAGAAAAGATTAAGGGTATCATTATTTTTCTTCTTGATTTGTCACAGGAGTCATGTTGTTGTTGTTTTTTTTTTTGCTCTGTTTGAGACCCATGATTTCTCCTTTTTTACATGATTCAGGGTTAAGAGACCTTATTTAGTGCTTGCAAATTCTAATGTTTTCTTTATTTCTTGTGTTCTGGAGTGCAGGTATCCAATGAAGAGGCTAAGTCAGTTGAAATCTCCAAACTTCAGAAAACATTGGAATCTATGGCCCTCGAGTTAGATGCAGCTAAGCTGGCAACAATTAATGAGTTCAACAAGAATGCTGTACTGCAAAATCAATTAGAATTATCAATGAAAGAAAAATCTGCTCTGGAAAGAGAACTTATTATGATGGTTGAAATGAGAAAGGAAAATTCATTACTAAAGGTGAGTCTTCTAGATTTCTAATTTGTGTTTCTCTGAATTATTATAATCATACCGACTGGTAAATCTTGTATTTTCTTCAAAATACATTCTTTGCTATGGTTGTAAGCTGAGAATGAGGTTGTGTTAAAACTTCTGTAGCAGTTTATATTATTGGTATTATTATTGATATTGTTGTTCTTTTTTTTTTGGGAGGGGGTGGGGGGTGATACGAATAAGTACACTTTATCAAGTACATGTCAATCAATCAACAAATTGTAGCCATACAAGTCAAATTAAAAGAAATAATTAGAATATAACTTGTACAAGAAACCTTAACATTAAATCTAAAAGTTGGTGTAATCCATTAACGATTTGAAACCTTTTATGTTAATTTAGGATCTTAAGAGATTAAAAGGGGAAGAATTCTTGAGCATTGTGTGATGTAGGTATATGGGGTATGGAACTTGTCATCACTTTCATTTTTTCTTGGTTTTCTGATTTTAACAGTTAAATGTTTTGGTGGTTTTTAATTTGGGTGTAGTTAATTGGTATTGCTTGTTCCAGGGGAACCGTATCGAATTCCTTGTGCTCAACCCACTGGGGTTTCCAAATGGTAAGGAGTGATGTGAACCATGCTTGGAACACGGATTCAAATCTCTCCATCACCATTTGGTAATAATAATAATAATAATAATAACTTAGCGGGCCACACTCCCCACCCTTGTGTGGAGTTTTGCTCATCCTGGTTGACTGGGCAGTTTGTAGCTGCCATCTATGGGACTAATAGGGCTAAAAGTCTGGTTACCCATGTTATCCTAACAATTTGCTTTTGCTCCATGAGCAACCCTCGTGTATTTAGCTTTGAGTTCTTTAAATATTCATCAACTGCTTTATTTTTACAGAGTTCTTTGGATACACTGGAAAAGCAGAATTCCGTGCTGGAGCTTGAGCTGAAGAAAGCTCAGAAGAATGCTGATGATACTGTTGAAAAGTTACAGGGAGTTGAGCAGAAGTGCTCTCAGCTCCAGCAAAATGTCAAAAGGTGTATTTTTCATAATTTACTTCCTGCATTTACATAGTTATTAATTGATACTGTTCATATTTCTTAGTGCCTACAAGATGGCACCCCTGTTGCTTTTGACAACTAGTAGTGTGGGTTCTTCTCTTTTTACATTATGTTTCAAACTTTTAGCTTTCAGTGTATTCATTTGCTATTCATATCTGTTGGTTGCTTCCTTATGTCTTCTTTTTTTTTTT